CTATGTATCCTATCCTTTCCAGGGATGGTCTCGGTATATGTCACCGGAAGCGCCTCGATTACTGTCAGAATCATCAAGGACACGACGCCACCATCACTAGTCAAACTGTTGAGAGTGGCCAATGATGGTTGGCTTTTGAAGCCCAGTTTCGAATACCAGAGAGCTAAATGTGTTGAGTTACCCGAAATAATAATAGAAGAGGAATTGAAAGATTTGAGGACATCATCTGCATCTTTACGCTGGGCGTTGAGCTTCATAAAAATGGATTTTAGCGATATACTCGGACCCTATGGGAACACGTACCTTGGCTCCAACGATTTCCAGCTTTGAGCCAACTCGGATCTTACGCTTCTTGACAGCTCGGGCCAGCGCACTGTCCAAAAGGGCACGGATTTTGTACCAACCATCTGTCAACACCAACTCCGTCGCTGTCTGATCGTCTTTTCCCTTTGACCAGGTAATATCAAAGACACAAAGTATCATCGCAGAGGTAGGACTGGCATCACGTTCTTGTATCAGTCTGATTGCTGGCCTCTGACAACGGTTGATCTCGCGCTCGTATCTTTAATTCACGTCAGAAGCAGTGATAGTACAATGGGATAAACTGACCTGTATAGAAGCTGAGAGATAACTTCTTGGAATGTCCAGCGAGAGGCTTGCGACGACGGCCAAAGAACAACAGAATTGGCCAATTTCCAGAGAATCAAGACCCAATGATTCTCGAGCCAGGCTTTCTCCACTAACGAGCATCCGCGAGCTTTCAGTTCTTGAAAGGCCGCATTGACGTCTTTTTGAACATCGCCCTCCTGAAATGCCCAATATAAAGCGTTCCATGTGTCTAAATCCCCAATCACATGCGGCCTATAACATCGTAAGAGACGGTGAATTCGATACAGGTCATGGACATACAATCCTTGTTTGGAAAGCTCGTCGAGCGATCGCGTCTTTGGGATGACGAGCTCGGAAAGCTTTTGACGCGTCCTTGGTGGGTCTTTAAAGCGATTAGAATTAAGTATAAATAC